ACTGACTCTTATTAGCCCTCTTCCCTGTTTGTGTGTTTTTATACGTTTGTTTACATTTTTATGTGCTTAGTTTATGTTTTATATTATTGTTTGAAATGCTTTATATTATTTGTATTTTAAATGCTTTTTTAATGTTTGAAATGTGTTAATATCGCCACCTTGGGGACCCCGAATTGGGTGGAAAGATGGCATAGAAATGTTTTAAATACATGAATAAGTCTTCCAAAACCAGGAGGCCTTCAGTCATGCTCCATATATGAAGGGAGGAAAGAGGGAGATGTGTGAGTGTAGCTACAAGTTATTTGCATGCTAGTCATGGATAGCGAGCAGCTTGACATGAAGTCTGAATGCAAACAGATGGTGTTCTCCAAGCAGGATGGCTCAAGGTGTTTCACCAGCGTGCCCCATTTCACCCATGTCTCACCACTGCTGTCACCACCTCCACCCAGGAGATGGAGGAGATAATCCTCCATACCACTGGGCTGCACTTGCTTTAATTAGAAATAGTGTAGCAAGCAGTACCTATCTTACAGAGGTCCCTGAACTCTTGAGAGATGACCTCCTCTTGTGATAGTTCTGCCCCCACATTGTGCACCTTGATGACAAGCAACCAGAAATGGTGGCTGAGCTCTCTAGAGAAGAAGGAATCTCGCAAGAGTTCAGAAACTAGCAAATGTAGTTTTGCCACATTTCTTTTGAAAAGACCTAGGGACACGAGGAAGGCAAAACATGATACAGTTCAGCTCCCAGGAGGGGACAGTGAGTGGGTGCAGCAGGCTGGCTGGACATGGCCGTCTCCCAAAATCCACTACCTTAAGTGACTATCTCATTAGAGAACCAGTCCTGTCTTCCAGGTGAACCACAGATTCACATAGAAAAATAGCACCCCTGATTTGGGTTGATCACTTAAGAAAAAAAAATCATACCAAGATTGTATTTTGTGCATCACTAATCTGACAACTGGAGCAGCTTAATTGTGTTGCTTGGAAGTTCTTATTTTATTGTCCTGTGTTTTTCTCTAAACAATCCTACCAACCACGAGCTGGGGGAATTGGCTGCACCAGGTGCAGCTGTACTTAATAGCTGTGTTTATCGCTTTGCTTGTCATGATCTACTTAGATAGAGAGATGCAGAAATTGCCTGATTTCCCCTTTCCTAATTTTATAGCGCATCCTGTAGCATACAGCGGCAAAAAACAATCGTGGTAAATCTGAAAACAATCTTCAGCTCTGTTCCTTATGTGTATTTTGTTTGGCAAAACTGCAGCAGAGGATGGGGTGGGGATCACTCCTCCTGTTTTGACTGTGGCCGAGAGTGTTGACTGCAGATGGAGTGATGATCAGACCCAGGCACCAGCCCTGCATGGGGCACTGAGTAGCCGCTGGCTGCAGTTGCACTTCAAAGAGAATGAAGCTGTGTGGAACCTGCTGCACAGGGAGAGAGAAAGGGTTGCACAACTCCACCCAGGTGTAAGTGTCTGGAGTGGATTAGACTGATTCATGGGAGACAGGTTTATCAGTGGCTACTAGCTAAGATGACTAAAGGGAACCTCCATGTCCAGAGTCAGCAGCTCTCTGAATACCAGGGCTAGGAGGCAACATCAGGGGAAAGCTGCTATGCCTTGTTTGTTGGTCAGGTTGCCAGGTCCCTCCGACAGGGGATGGGGGGGTAAGGTTGCCAGATCAAGGCTGGGAAACTCCTGGAGATTTAGGGATGGAGCCTGGGGAGGACAGGGACCTCAGTGCAGTACAATACCATAGAGTTCACCCTCCATAGCATTCCTTTTTTTCAGGGGAACTGATCTCTCTAGTCTGGAGATGAGCTGTAATTCCAGGGGATCCCCAGGTCCCACCTGGAGGATGGCATCCCTATACGTTGGACATCCACAGCAAATGGCTGGCTGTTGTATGAGAGAGGACGCTGGACTATATAGACCGGTGGTTCCCAGCCTTTTTGGTTCCCAGTTCAAATTTACTGGGGATGGGAACCTGTCCAACGCTGGCCCAAGGTATTTTGGCACACTAGTCAAAGTGGCATTCCAACATGCATATGGAGGTTACATACTAGCCTTCGACCAACTTCTCCGTCTATTCCCCCACCTAAGATTCTAAGAAGCTCACTGTAGTAACTGTCAGGACATGTTTTACTTAATCAACATGTATATGTAGTGAAGGAAAAATGCCAATTAAGATACTGTTTCCAGGGTCAAATCTTGGTTTCCAAAATAGAAAAGAGAGCAATGGAAAGGGTAGGGGTGGCCATCAAGAAGGGCTGGCTCATGACCCACTTTGAGAGGCTTCGCAACTCACTTTTGGGTCCTGACCCACAGGCTGGGAAACACTGACAGAGGCTACTGGTCTGATCTGGCAGAAGGTACCTCTTATGTTTGTATGCATGGGGGGTGGGGCACAGAGGTTGGTTCTCATTCTAGTTGCTGGGAAGCCCAACAGTAGCTCTGTTGTAAATCCATTCATTTAGAGACAATATAAATAATTTTAATTTGTTTTTTTTAAAAAGATGTTGCCATAAAAATAGCACATGACTACAGCACATTCTTCCATTCTCACAACATCAGCATTACAGAGATATTAAAATGCAAGTTGTCGCACTGAATTATCCTCGAACTTTGGTGCATTATTCAAAGCAGCAAATTCTGATCTTGATGTTCTCATATTGAATCTCCCATGAGAGCCACAGCTCACACTTTCTGCCCTTCAGAAACTAACAGTGCTCAGCTTGCTCCCAGGTATCTGGCCAAGTAAAACTTTCATCTCCCCCTCCCCCCACTCTTTGGTCAGGTAGCACACAAAACCCCTTTTTATTTTCTTGGCACTCAGACCACAAAGGTTGCCTATCCATCCTTGGTCTACCTAGGTCCCTGCCACATGGCAGGGAAAACGACGGTCGAACTGCGGCAAATGTAAACTGCAGCAAAGTTGAGACGGCGCGGCGGGATCTCACGGATCCCCCGAGCCGCGTCGCGTCGCTCCCCGGCACGATCAGATGCCAGGGAGAAAGCGACAGTGTGAAGGGGAGCCTGGCGAACTGCGCATGCTCACACATGCGCAGTTCGGCCAGGAGCCGGGGATGCGCCGGCGCAAGGACGCGCCGGCGATCCCACGGCCAGTGTTGCTGCGGCCCGTCGAAAAGAATCACCTCGGGAGGTGGTTCTTTTTTGGAGCGGATCAACGCCGGAAGGGACGGATCAGGGACGGAGACGGTACGCTCCCCAGATGTTGATGTGGGATCGCGCCCGTTTGCTCTGCCCCCGTTCCGTCCCTCTCCCGGCCCAAATGGCCTCGTATGGACAGGACCCTAGTTTAGCATCTTGCTTCCTACACTGGCTAGCAAGGTGCCTCTAAAAGGTTCATAGTACAAAAGGCCCCCCCTTTTGTCCCCAGAGTCTGCTGTTAGAGGTGCAGTACCTTTGATCATGGAGGTTCTGTTCAGCTATGACAACTGATAGGTTTTGATAAATCTGCGTTGCTCTGTTGTAATAGAGCAGCGTTACCGCATGCAGACAGATGTGTTCTATGGATTCTCCCCTTCCCCTTCTGGCCTCACAAACAACTCTGTGGGATTGGTTGGGCTGAGAGAACAGCTGGCTGAAGTGAACCCTCATCTACCTATACCTAATGTAACACTTAAACCACCACAGACCCTGTGCACACGAGGAGTTTTGGGCCGGGAGTGGGCCGGATCAGGGCCAGAGCAAACGGGCGCAATCCCACTGCAACATCTGGGCAGCATTGCACACCCGTCCCCGATCCGGCCCTTCCCCCGATGAAACACATCAAAAATGAACCACCTACTGAGGTGGTTCATCCACGACGGCCGCATAAATGCTGGCCGTGGGATCGCCGGTCCGTCTTTCTGCTGGCGCATCCCTGGCTCCTGCCTGAACTGCGCATGCTCAGACATGCGCAGTTCGGCAGTCTCCCGTTCCCCTCCATCGCTTCCCCCGGCATCTGATCGTGCCGGGGAGGGAATGCGCCGCGGCTCAGGGGATCAATGTGATCCCGCTGCGGCGTGTGTTTTTTTGGTGTGGCTTTCAGAAGCCGCGCTTCAGCCCGTCCCTTTCTGCCCCGTGTGGCAGGGGCCACAGTGTAGTAGTCAGAGTGTCAAATAGTCACTGTTTCAAGATCAGCTAGTATCAGAACAGAGAGACAGAGTTCACAAAATCATCCTGGCGTGAAGTTTCCATCTTTTGACCCAGTTAGGGCCCTCGTGACAATTCAGACTTAAACAACATTAAAAACTAACTTTAAAAAATACCGAACAAAGTTTGAGTCCAGTGGCACCTTTAAGACCAACAAAGTTTTATTCATGGTATAAACTTCCGTGTGCAAGCCCATGTCTTCAGGTACAGATGCTTGCACATGGATGCTGATACTGTGACTCAAACTTTGTTCTGCTGCTTCAGACCAACATGGCTACCCCACCTGCATTAAAAAAAAATACAGATACACACATAAAACAACAACAAATATTAAAAACATAAAAGGAAATGCCAAAAGAAATAAAAATGTCTTTACCTGCTGCCTGGCAGAAGATAATAATAGCGGAGGATATTGGTCCGGACTCTCTCACAGCCTAACCCAATCTACAGGGTAACCATTAGGATAAACGGAGGGGGGGGGAAGCATGTTTGATACCCTGACATCCATAAACGAAGGGCAAGATACAAATTTAATAAACTGATTCTGTTTATTCTGGTATTTCATGGGAAGGCCTCAGAACTATAGAATTTAAAGGAGAAAAAACTGGACAGATTTTTGGAAACAGAGCAAGGAAGGAGAACAAATTTAGAGTCCAGTGGCACCTTTAAGGCTAACAAAGGTTTATTCAAGGTATGAGCAAAGAAGAGGGGGGGGGGGGTTTCATTGCCTATTTCAAAGTTTAAAAAGAAGAAGAGGGAAGAGCAGTTTTGATTCAGGCTATGACACAGAAAAATAAGGATCCCCTGAATTAACCCTTTGCGATTCATTTTTTCCACATACCTGTATAAATAAATCTACCAGGAGCTCCTTTGCAAAACTGTTTGGATTTATATGATAATGTTACTTCAACCACACCGGGGATATGTCGAGGGGGCGTCTGGACACGAATGGCATGAGGGGTGATCAGCTGGGAAGTGTCAAAGAGAGAGGACAAGTTAGAATTTAGGAGGTTCTCCCACAATGCCCTTTACCATTCCATTTTCTGGCACTTGATAGATCAGAAGGTCAAAACTCAGCAGAATGAGATTTCCACCATGCTAACAGGACCAAATCAAAGACTGTGGTTTTTGGTACAGCAGAAGGAAAATGCTGTGTGTATCCTTACCTGGTAGTAAAAAAAGGTGTAGATTAATTATGACTGGAAAATAACATTGGAATAATGAGGAGCGATGCATGCATTATAAAGTCCTAGTGTCCCACATGTGACTACCTTGGTTGTTTTGATTGGACCTGTCCTGGGAGTTCCATGCTGAGAGTTTAATTCTTAGGTGTGCGTGGAATTCAGATTGGAACCTCAGTGTACAAGGAGAGGGACTTAAGCCTGCCCCCCATGCCATTTCCATAGCCTGAAATTGTCCTATGAAGCCATTAGCCCTGTTGGGGGTACTTATGTGCAGCCCATCAGTACACATGCAGCCCCCAATGGGGCAAACTTCTGGCACAGCCCAGGGCCACTAACCTCTCCCCCCATTTCTCTTCTGTCACCCATCCATCTGCCCTTCCCTCACACCTCCAGTGGCACTTATTCTCCTGGCTACATATACCAAGAAAGAGAGAGCGAATACAGGTGGTGCACAGTGGTGGCAGTGCTTCTGTTGGCCATGTAGGTGGCACTCCCAGCTGCGCACACCATCCTGCATCATCAGGGAAAGGGCTGTGGGAGGTGAAGGTGGCTGTGAGCACGGATAGTAGGAGGGCTTGAAAGCAGTTGGGGGGGAGCACAGGCCTGGGGGGGCATGCAGGTAGGTCAGCAGGAAGGGAAGCACAAGCAGAGGGCATGGTGATAGGCAAAGGAGGGGAGAGCGGCCCTGAACTTGCCTTGAGGGGCTTTGCAGGGTAGCATAATGGCAACATTGCAGATCTGGGCACTGTCAGCCATAGGACGGCATAAATCAAGTGCCTAACCTACTAGAGATAAGCTAAATTGGGATAGACCCTTTGCCTATTAGTTGTCGCTTGATACTGCTCCCTGAGAAATGATAACTACACAGTCACAAATAGAAACAGAAAATCCCTCTGTAAGAAGGACCAGCATCCAGCTCAACAAAATGCAAAGAGAAAGAATTAAGGTTGCCCACCTCGCTCCATACAAGCATGGTCCCAAACACAACTTGTAGTCCATCGAAGAAGTTGTCTCCTATAATGATCACCATTGCTCCACCTGTGGTCCAGCCTTCACTTGGACTGATAGCTTTGATGCATGGAGTGGCTAAAGGAAAAATAAAATAAAACAAAGCAATGTATGGGAAGCCTGAGTTACTGTGAAAACATAGATTGTCTTTATGAAGGTTTTCCTCTGATAATTTCATTGGATCTACCATCTTAGGCACATTTATGTATCTGGAGGCCATTCCAGAACTGGAGATGTTCACATATGTGGCTTAACTCCATGGGATTCGCACAACAGAACCTTGATTGTGCAATAGACAGACAGACAAATGGATGAACAGATATAGACGAAATACGTGTAATTACAATCTCCATATTGGCAAAAATGTTAAAGAAATTCAGTATTCCTTTTGCAGTATCCCCTTGTACTGGAACATCTTTTCAGTCACCCCTCCAATATCCTGCACAAGTATATAAATTTTATTCCAGTCACCAAGCTTTCTTCCCCCCACCCCAAAGAAATCTGGGAATTATAGTCTGGCAAGAATTCTAAGCAATGTCTGTTAGAAATCCCTTGCACTTCCTTACGTAAGCTCCCAGAGTTGGAAGGAAGTGGGGATGACTATTTAACCAGGTTAAATCTGTAGTACAAGTATGGTTTTCTAATTTATCGGTCCTTGGTAGAAAGAAGGTTGCTTATATTGGACCTCATATTTATTTATTATTATTTATTAATTGGATTTATATCCTGCCCTCCCCAAATGGGCTCAGGGCGGCTAACAAAAGAGGCGAATGCCATAACAAACAATTAAAACAGCATAAAAACAATCATTAAATAAAGTGCGGTGCTCTTGATGTTAAGTCTTATTAGTCCAAGTTGGGTTCCATTTGTCAACTTAACCTGACAGCATACGTTCTTTGGTCATCTAGCATTTTCCCAGGGCCGGCTCACCTCTAGTTCTAATCCACCGCCGAAGATGGCAGCTCGGTGGTGGCACAATAAGCTTGGGGAAGCTGAAAACAGTGACTTGCCCCCACTGGAGTAAGAAATCCACAGGTACAACTGTTCTGATGAATTGGCTCAGTGTTAGATCACATGCTTTATATGTAATCATATTCTGAAATAGCCCATGTTCACCAGAGACAACCCCCGTTCTTGTCTTTTCATGATGTTTTGATAAAATGTTGTTAACTTGAATTGCTAATGCTGTCATTCTTCAGAGCTTCTTCATCAAATTTGTATGCTGTTCATTTTCCTGAGTAGCTTAGAGAAGCATACACGGTCCCCTCTTCACCATCACAACAACCCTAGGTGACGGGCTTAAGGTCATTCAATGAGCTACATGGCAGAATGGAGGTTTGAATCAAGATCACAATGCGGCATTGCAATTAATTCCCCAGGGTCTCTAGAACAGTGATACTCAGTGGCTTGGGAGCCACATATAACTCTTTGACATGACACCTGTGATTCTTCTGAGCAATATCCCAATGTGGCACATGTCCACTTTTCAGGACTGGGGCTTTTGGTTGCCAGATAGTTCCCACTTAGCACAGAGAGAGGTTCTAATCATCCCATCTCTTGGAACACTACAGCTCAACTTCAAGGATGCCACACAGGTACTTTATTCTCAGTAAGCAGTGTAGTCCATAAAGTGTAACAGCTTGTTAAACTTTCTTAGCTTAATCGCCCAATACAAGCACTCAGTAAACTACAATACACAAACAAACACAGTTCAGAAACCGTAGAAGAATCATATAATTAAAGGAAGATACAATTGGTTTTAAAATACACTAAAAGTATCATGTATGTTGCCTATAAAAATTAAATCAGGGTCCTCAGAATCCAGTCTGTCTAGATGATTTAGGAACTTGGTCATTATGTTTGAACGCACTTCCATTTTGCGCTTGAAGGGCACTTTTAACATTGGGATTCATTTAATAAAAAGTTCTGGAGAACTTGAAAAGCTTGCACAGTTTTGTGTCGTAAGTCTGATCTGCAACCCCTTCACCTCACTCCAGGTATCCAAGAGCAGGCTAAAGTTCAACAAGGACTGGAAGAGACAAGCCTACATGCTCAGCAGTACCTTGGTAATTAAAGATTATAGCTATTTATTTATTTATTTAAAACATCTTTATGCCACCTTTCCATGCAATCAGAGTCCATAGGGTGACAAACTTAAAAATAAAATAAAATATTTGATTAAAAATACATTCAAAATTATAAAATAATTCAATTAAAACATATAAACAAATGACAGCAGAAGGAGGGCCAGTAACCATTATGGGTATATTATGGGAGTATGCCAAACAAAACAAAAAAAGTCTTTACCTGCTGGTAAAAGACACTGATAGAAGGTGGTAGACAAATCTCCCAAGAGAGGGAGTTCCCGAGTTTCAGTGCCACAATCAAGAAGGCCCTTTCTTGGGTTGCCACCCATCTAGCTTCAGATGGCAGGGGCAACTGAAGCAGGGCCTCTAAAGATGACCTGTATGGTAGGTTCATATTTATAGGTAGGTTAATTGAGAGAAGGTGGCCCTTATGCTGGTTGTCCCAGGCTGTAAAAGGTTTTGAAGGTCAATAACAGCATCTTGAATTGAGCCTAGAAGAAAACTGAAAAACAGTGTTGATGGAGCAAGACTGGAGTGGCATGGTCCCTACACCCCATTTCAGTCAACACTCTAGCTGCAGCATTCTGCACCAGCTGTAGCTTCTGGACAGACTTCAAGGGTAGTCATCTAATCTAGATGTTACTAGTGCATGCACCACAATGGCAAGATCTTTTCCACCTGGGAAGGACCACAGCTGGTTCAACAGCCAAAATTGGTGAAAGGAGCCTCTGGCCACCTGTTTATTCAACAGAAGGTCCAGGAGCACACCTCAGCTATGAACTTGCCTCTTTAGGGGGAGTGCAACCTCATTTAGAACAGGGGATAACTCCTTTCATGGGTCAATCACACAATTAATATTATATCTTATTGTAAATGTGTTTGGTGGGGTGGCGCACAGGACATGCAGTAGCCATGTGGGTCTTTGGGTTGATGGAAACTGTGAATGTGGCTTTTCACAAGCTACGATGTGTGTATTCTAGGCGCCCACCTAGAATACTGTTTCACCCCACTGAAGCCTTTTTTTGTTAAAGGCCTTTAAAAGATTGTTGTAGTTTCCAATGAAAGAATGGCAGCTTGACTCTAGAATATGAAAATTTCTGTTGTGATAAAGCTCTTAGAGGGTGGGAGGGATAGCAGAGAGGGAGGATGGCTCCTCCCCAGCCATGATGTCACTGCTCCATACCTTTTCATGTAAATTTACGGGGTGTGTGTGTGTATGTCTGGTCTCACCTGTCTCACTTAATAAGGAAGACTGGCCAGGACTTTGCAAGTTTCTTTACACTCATTGGTTAGAACACTGGAACAAGGGAGTGAGCTGAACAACTGGCCAGAATACTGCATTCACGCTTTACCTGGTATCTTCTCAGTTGAAAGGGATGAGACACTTTAAAAAAAGAAAGCTAAATATTCAGGGAAGAGGCTGTGGTTGTAGCCCTGCCATGAGGTACACTCTCCAGAAGCCACATAAATATCGAGAAAACTCTATTGAGTCACCATGGCCAACATCATAAAGAACTAAGATTAAATAATGAATGCCCATTTATTTAAGGGCACTTCATATTATGCCATTCAAACCTAACAGACCGATTTGTAATTTATATAAAATCAAACTGCATATGTAACACTGCAGCTATTTCAGAAATGCTCATTTGCATCTTCTCCCCGATCTACTCATGGGGACTGAAAGAAGCACTGGAATTATCAGTGAATACTGGTGGCATGGAGAAGCTGGAAATTCTTTGCTCACTTCACAGTTTCATTCCAGATAATGAACAGTGACCATAAACTTCCATCTTCTTTGGATGCCATGAATCCCGACCTATTGCAGTGAAGAGGGTGGCCATAATAGACAAGGCCTTTGTAGTGGCACCCTGACTCTAGAACATACTCAGCATGGCTATTCACTCTACTGCCCAATTCACTCGAGTTCTGGGTATCAGATTTTTTAAAAAAACCCTGTTCACCCAGGCTTCCCCCCTTTCTCTTATCTGTAAGTTAAATTGCTGCTGGATTTCTGGCTGTTGAATTGTGGATTTTATTTTTGAATCATTGCTTTTAACTTCAGTTATGATTGTTAGCCACCTCAGAAATTTTAGGGTTGAGAGATGGGATTTAAAAAACCGCCTTTGAAACAGATGAACATGCTTGCATGTACACCAGGGACAAAATGCATCCAAGACATTTCCAGCCATCTTCTGACTCAAATATTTAACTTTGGGAGATTCTGGGGAGGAGCTGGACAACAGCTCTCACAACTCAAGGAATTTTAACAAGGGATTTCCAAAATGCAAACATTAGGACAAAATAGGGATAGTGATTTGATAGGGGACAGAAAATAAGGGTATTCCTGGTTAACAGGGACATTTGCAACACAGGAGATGATGACGATCATTTTTGGCCATTATAGGACAGGGAATTTCTCTCCCCCTCCCTGCCTTGGTTCTCTCTCATACGTTCAAGGCCTCTGGACTATACATCCCATCAAGATCCCAATATGGTTTCCAGTCCATAACCAAAGTCAATCCATCACTCCATTCCCAATGTTGACAAGGTCAAAGGTGGAAGGGAGCTTTGGCAGTGCTCCAAAATTACGAGACTCCTTTGAACAGCCAGTCAATCACATTCAATCAGTCAAGGAAAAACTGGAAGGCTTCTTAGCTTTGGAATCCTGGGAGTTTCCTTCTACCATTTCACTGCCCGCTGGGGGAGAATTAACACTGCTCCGAATTCTTTACTGATTCAATCATTTTCTTCCAGTTCATTAATTCTCCTTTAGGTTGATGCAGGGGCACATTTTAAAGGGGAGGGAGAACGCAACAAAACACTCTAATGAAATAATAGACTAACTTGTCTCTTCTCCTAACGTCACAAAGTCTTCTCACTTTCACTAGCTGTGAGGATAGGGCCAAGAGGGGCTTCTCTAGTTATTTTTAACTGGTGCCAGAATGGGGCTGGAGAGAGTGGAGGCGATTATCCAATTTGAAGCTTAGC